TCTCCACAAAACTCTTTCCAAAAACTTCTCTTCAAAATATATCCAACGCACGGGGCAGCTGTATAACGAGTGATGGCTTCCCCATCCTCGCTAGTCTTCTTCCCCAATTATCGGTGATAATCGGGGTCAATCGGGGACACTCGTCATTGAGTGTCCTCGTCGGAATTATTAATATTCGGGTCAGTTGGGGAACGTCCTTTTTCCTCTTCCGGGTCACGTGGGCTGTGACGTATGGGTGGTGTTGTTTTCTCCAATCTAAGTCACGTGGGCTGTGACGTATAATGGTGGGTTTCGCGACGATGCAAGTCACGTGGGCTGTGACGTATAATGGTGGGTTTCGCGACGATCCAGGTTGATGCTCCACGGCGTGAGTGTAGGGCTGGTGTAACGCGGGGCAAAGGGAAGGACTTTCTCGGGAGTGGGGTTGCCAACGGTGGCAGGTTTGTATATTTTCCTTAAAGTAATTCCTAGCCTACTTATAGCTAAAAAAAAAACAAGTCATTATTAGGGGGCAGGGGAGGGCTAAAAAAGTGCCTCGTCACAATATATATATATATATATATATATCTTGTATATTTACGCTACCCACAAAAAAGAAATATTGATATGAAAAATTTAATATTCACAATTATTTTCGAATGATCAATAATTTGTCGTAGCTCAACAATGTCATCAGGGAGCGAGATCTATTAAAGGAGGATAATGCAGCCCTAAAAATCAAGGTGCACAAATTAGAGGAAGATATTGAGAAAGCTGAACTCAGAATGGACCTGTCAGTGAGCGTCGTGAAAAAAACCGTGCAAGAAGCGGTGAGGACACATTCTGAACGTCATAAACTCATTACTATCGATAAACAAACGAAGCTGGTCAGTCGAAAATCATTAATTATTGTTGAGTATGAATTTCCGTCTAGTTATCTTTATTAAAAGGGGACGGGTAAGTTGCCCGTGGAGTGCTGAACCATTCTGCTCTGTAAGTGCGGGATATTCGAAATAACTTTTAACACACATTTATGTCACACAAACCGTTACTTGTATTTAATTAATTCACCAATTATTATTCACAATTAAACTATTCACAACTTGGGTTCACATGATTCTCACAAAACAATTCCAATTTGAAAGTCTTTACAATAATGCTCTTTCCAACTATCAGTTCACTATTAGAACCGCGCGTTTTTTAATTATGAATCTTCTCTGGCTCTTCACCCAAGTCAAGTGTTTCCAAAGTGTCACCAATTTTTAGGGGAAGGGGGTGCTCGACGAATATTCATTCTGCTTGAATGTTGATTTTTGGGATTAAATACCTTTTTGAGGATGAAAGTAATAATTATTAACAAATTTGTCAAAACATATAGATATATACAAAAAGGTAAGTATAATGAATGGAATAATAAAAACCCGGTCTTTAGACAGCAGATGAGCAGAGGATTAGAATTTTCTGGGAATTTTAATTTTCAATGTTTGAATTTTATGTTTTTATAATATGAAAGGTTTTCAAAACGGAGCAAGTTCTATGTAGTTGACAAAATTATTCTGATTGCATTTTTGAAGTGGTAATTTCTTATGGTGCGTTTGGGTGTAAAGCCGAAAGAATGTAACACTGACGGAAATGTGTTACGAAAAACGAGTGGGGGGACAGCGATGCGCACAGCTGCTTAGCAAGCAGAGCGACGCGCGCAACTGCTCTAGACGGCGCTCTTCAGATATTCTAGCGCGCGATACTTATTATCATTATTAAGATCCCGACAACTAAATTTCAACAATATGGTCTGAGGCCACTCGGAAGAAATGGTAACTTAAATGTAAATAATAATGAGTAGGAGTAAATGATCTTCGAAAATAAAATTCAGTGTGCTTAGCCAAATTATTTATATTTATATGTTGAACATACGTTGAAAGTCCACAGTATTGGTGGCTCATATACATATATTCAAAAACAATTACGAAAAACCATACAAACAATGTACAAAATATCGTACCGCGCCTTTAATCTATAATAATAACAATATATACATTCAGGAAAGGTACGGTAAGATATTTTGTACTGTGACCTTGGCCGGGGAATTAAAATATAATAATTCCCGGCGAAGTCACTAATAAATATAATACAGGAATAAACGAATGATTTTTGAGGGGAAACTGCTTGGTAATTGCGGGGGGACCTGAAATGATAAAGAAAGGGGAGGGGGATGAATAATTACTCGGGCGGGATAATAGTAATAAATGTTCTCTATTTTAATAAATGGAATATCTTAACACAGTAATTATAATAACAACCAGAATAGAAAACAAAAAGGCCTTCTCTTAATCACTAATCAAGGGTGGGGGGTAAGGCCAGCCAGCTTGCGACCAACACGCAATTATTATTAGAACAAGAAGGGGTGATTCTATCTCTGAAAACAAAAGGGGGAGAAGTGAGGGGTACTAGTGAAAAAGTCT